CCAAACAGACTATAAGTGTAACAATCCACCCATAACAATTGGCCTACGTGTTCAAATATTGGTTTGTCAGTGGATTGATATCGAATGAAGATAAATAAAGTCAGCAAGTCAATCGGTGACACGTCAGCTATCCACATCAGTCAGTCAACAGTTGTTAAAAGCTTGTTAAGTCTGTTTTTCCATTCGTTTCTATTTTGCAAATTGTTAGTGTCGAACCTCGGAAATGGCGTTGTATATAAACGTCGATATGAGCAGGGGTGTACCTATAGGGGGGCAGGCAGGGGCCATCGCCCCCCCTAAAATCTTGCAAACCCCAAATACGGGTGGGATTATTATACCATGGCCCCCCTAATTTTTTTTTTGCTCAAAGTGGCCCCCCTAAAATTAAACGTGCCCCTTCCAAATTTCCTTATATTTCTATATATGAGTTATATGGGCCATGTATTTGTATAGCTTTTAGATAAAAGTAACTTATTTTGGCCCAATTTAAATTTTAATGGATAAAATAAAAGTAATTTATTAAGACCCAAATCCAATATTTGATAGGTTAAAGAAGGTTATACTTTAATTTGTTCCTATTACAATAAGGTGGAATCCTCATATATATGATTAAAATTATTCTTTTACAAAAAGCAGAAGGATTAAATTGTTGCATATATATTATGATGCCAAAAAAATTGTTGCATTATTAGTAGTCATAACCCTAAGCATATTGTACCATAAGTATTTTTTTCTCTTTTTACAAGTTTCAAGAGAAACAAATCAAAGTAAAGCATTCGAGCATGATTTACAAAGCATCAAATTTATAAGTTGATCACAACAACAATTGCATCTTGGATTTATATTTATATTATTTTTGTTTTGTATACTTTATTTAACAAAAGTATTCTATATTTATTCAAAAAAAAATTCAATATACTTCTTCACCCCCCTTCAAAAATTTCCTGGGTTCGCCCCTGGATATGAGCCTATTGTAAAACCCATGTTTGAAACTAATAAAAACTTCCCCCTTTTCTCTCAAGTCCTTTCTATGTATTTCGATATCTCTTGTAAATCTTGAAGCCTATTCTCTTTTTCTTTCCTATCTGAATTACTTGAACTCTTACCTCCATCATTTTGGTATCAGACCTTCGATCCGGTGCCGGTGATGACTAAGGCAGATGATTTAAAGCGGCTCGAGGAAACGGTGAAAGAAATCCTATTGAAGCCAAGGTCAGGAGCAGTAGCAAGTCCAGACGATCGATTCTTTGAAGCACGATATTGCTGCTTTGAACCTACAACAGGGACAAATCATGACACAATTGCAGGCGCGAGCTTCCTCTGTCGAAGCCAGAGCAGCGGCAGAGGTGACGGCGGTCGGAACCAGTAATCTGTTAGTAATCTGTTGCTGATTCGCCAGCACTTGGGAAACCAAAGGCTTCCAAAGATGGATAGAGTGAAGACATGAAGTTTTCTCATAGAAAAAAAATTGTATCATTAAGACCCAATAATACATGAGTGAGAAAGGTGCAAAATTTAATCCATTTGCAAGTTATTGCAATCAAATTACCCAATCTATTTCATCAGACTGTTAACGTTACAATTTTTAAGCTGTGAATGTTCCAGCTAAGATAGATGTTCCCGAAGAACATGATGGATCAAAGTGATCATGCCTGAAGCATGGAAATCAATGGGATCAAAAGATAAAGTTCCTCGAAAAAGAATGGGGAGAAATTTAAAATCTGCTCCAGAAGAGCACATTGGTCTTTCTCGAGGAAATCAAGTTGTCTTTAATATGGCACAAAGTAGAGAGAGCATAATATTGCCCTTGAAGAGGCACAAATTTATGAGCATATTGTCTATGTAGTGGCACAAACCCATGAAAAGATCACCGACCAGAGAATGCTAGAATTTCCATTGTTATGATCAGAATGAGATAATCATCGATGATGCTTTCGCTCTCTAAATCGCTCATGAAATTATAAACGATGATAATGAACCTCGGTTTATAACCGAATGTCATCAAAGGCAATGTTGGCCTATATGAGAGGAAGCAATCAAGGTTGAATTGGCTTCCCTTGCCAAAGAATGATGTCTTTGGACTTAAACCCGTTGGATTTAAATGGGTATTTGTTTGGAAATGAAATGAGGAAAATAAGGCTGTGAGGTATAAAACCCAACCTATAGTCCAAGAGTTCACCTAGAGAACTAGTGTTGATTATAATGAAATGTATTCACTTGTGATGAATGTAATTACCTTTCACTTCCTTGTAAAGTTGAAAACGTATTATATGAACATTGTGATTACATACTTATGGTTGAAAGGATATAATATGCCTGAAACATACATTCCGATATTTATATTCCCGAGGGATTTAAAATGCGTGAAGCATGCACTCCCCGCAACTTATTTTCAAAAGTTGCAAAATATCTTTATTTAGGTTGAAGCAATCCGACTACATGTGGTATCAACGCTTAGCGTGTCCTTGATTAAGGAAGAGTATAAAAAGGATCCCATTGACCCATGTGTGTTTATTAAGAAATTGGAAACCGGATTTGCTTTAGTAGCAGTTTATGTCGATGATATAGTTTGGAACTCCTGAAGAGTTGTCCCGAACTGCTAAACTGCTAACTATTTGAAAAAGAAGTTTGATGATTTGGGTAAAACCAAATTATGCCTTTGAGTACCCCTATGGTTGCAAGGTACCTTGATCCCCAAATAGACCTGTTTCGTCCTAAACAAGCCGATAAGGATACGTTTGGTCCTGAAGTACCATACCTCAATGCTATCGGGGGGATTAATATATTTAAGACAATACATGTGACCTAAAATCGCATTTGCGATAAATTTGTTGGCATATTTCAGTTATTAGCTAACTCGGAGCGACATTGTTAAGCATATTTTTTGTCATCTCCGTTGTACCATAATTTTGGGGTTATTTTAAGAAAACTATTAATCTTGTTTTAGTAGGATATGCTAATGCGAAGTATCAGTCTGATCCACATAAAGCTCGCTCTCAAACTGGTTACATGTTTTGCTATAACGATATAACAATTTCTTGGCATTCTACAAAGCATACACTAGTAGCTATATTTTCTAATCACTTTGAGATTATCTCCCTCAAAGATAGTGTATTTGGTTAAAACTTTTTATAGCACATCTCTAAAGAACATGTGGATTGAAACTGGTTATAGATTCTCCCATTATAATGTTGCTTATATTGCACAAGTCAGGGGAGAATATTTTAAGGGTGATAAGACCAAGCACATCTCGCAACATATTTCCTATACTCATGAATCCAAGAAAGTCGACAAGTTGATGTTAACAAATTCGCTCCATTAAAAATCTTGCACATCTATTAACTAAAATTGTTGCTAACATCAACATTTGAGAAATCATTTTATGGCATGGCGAGATAATAAAATGCAAGATTGAACTCCTCAGAAGTGGAAATGTTTAGATACCCCGGAAGTGGTTGTTTGATTTAATTCAGGGGGAGCGATTATGAGTTTAAAGTGTGTTGCACTCTATTTCCCTTATGATCGGTTTTGTCCCACAGGGTTAAGGTTTTTAATGAGGCAACAATAACACATTTAGATGTAATTGTCCAGAAGACATTTACATGGACATAACTGCTCTGCACTCTTTTTTCCTTTTGTTTGGTTTTGTCCCACTGGATTTTCTGACTCAAGGTTTTTAATGGGGCAATAAGAGCGCATGTAATATTTGTCAAGAAGACAAATTTAATGGACGTGATTTGATGTACTCTTTTCCCCTTACGACCAGTTTTTGTCCCACTAGGTTTTTCCGGCTTAAGGTTTTGAACGAGCCACTAGCTACATGTCCAAACGGGTAGTTATAATGGTGTTATCATGTTATGTCCAAGGGGGAGTGTTATGGAATTATGGACTCCACACCACACTAAGCCCAACTATATTAGGACAATATATATTAGTCCATATTGTGTTGTAGACAAATTGGGAAGTAAATTAAGAGAATTAACAAAGAGAGAATTAAGGAGAATCAAATCAAGAGAAATTACCTGGAAGGTTCCCTAGAGCATCATCCACCGTTGAATTTTACTTTACTTGCAAGTAAAACAAATTAGCATTAAATGTAAAGAGGATTTACTCAACTATATAAAAGGAGTCCCCTAAGCTATTCTTGACACACATTAGATTTTTTGTATTCTCTTCTTTTTGTAATAATAATGTTCTTTGAATTCTTCATTAGCTTATAACACTATATAACTTTTTGGATGTAATAAGGATCGGAAAAGCCTCTCAAATTTCTTATGAAGGGAGTTATAGAAATTTTATTTCTTTGAAATTTTTAACTAAACTCGTGGATCGTGATATAAATTAATTAAACATAAAGCTTTCTATAAATTTGAATTATGAACATAAAGCTACAAATTTGAATTAATTTTGTTGGGGCAAAAAGCAACTCCGTGTTAAAGTTCAATTATATAAACATAAAGCTTTCTGTAATGATGATTAAGTAATACTAATAGAATTACTTTCTTAGTGCCAAAAAAAAATGTAATACTAATAGAATAATAATTTGTGGTATAAAATTTAAAGGAAAATTAGTTAATATACCATCAGTGAAATTTAAAATAATTACCCAAATTTAAAATAAAGTACTACTTTTTCTATCAGTTGAGTTAATATACCATAAGTGGAGTTTAATATACCATCAAACGTCAGTGTATTAAATAATTATCCAAATTAAAAAAAAAAAATACTACTTTTTCTTATAAGCACATCTTAGAATTGGTACATTTTGAGATGGCTTGGTGTAAGGAGAGTCATTTTTTGGAGCAGCTGGCTTCTAAATGGAATGAAGAGGTGGGCGGTGATTTGCTTTACAAAATTGATCGGGTAAGGGAGGCTTTGCGATCTCAATTTGGCAAGAAAGCATCGTTGGTTAGGAAAAGAATGTAGATACGAGTATGGAGGACCAAAAAAAGGCTCGGGAAGAATTAAATACTTTGTTAGAAGAAGAAGAGGCTTATTGGATGCAAAGAAATAGGGTAAATTGGCTTCGGGATAGAGATAGAAATACAAAATATTTCCATGCTCAAGCAAATGGGAGGAGGAAGAAAAATACCATTATTGGTATCGAAGGGGAAGATGGCCGGTGGACTACTGATTTAGATGAGATCCAAGCGATTGCTACTTCTTACTTTCAGAAACTTTTTAATTCTACTGAACCTAAGCACTTTAATGATGTACTTGAGAAAATCCAACATCGAGTCACAACAGAGATGAACGCTTCTCTTCTATCAGAGTTCACAGCAGAGGAGATTCATACAGCACTCAACCAAATGCACCCCACTAAGGCACCAGGTCCTGATGGTATGCCTGACTTATTCTTTCAAAAACATTGGTCTTTGTTAGGTAGTGAAATTGTTGATTTTTGTTTGAGTATTTTTAATGGCAATTTTTCTTTGCAAGATGTTAATCAAACTCATATTGCTTTAATTCCCAAAGTGAAAGAGCCAAAGAACATGATGCAGTTTAGACCCATCAGCCTCTGTAATGTCATGTACAAAATTATTTCCAAAGTTTTGGTGAACAGGTTGAAAGTGTTTCTTCCCAACTGTATCAGCGAGAATCAAAGTGCGTTTGTCCCAGGGCGCCTCATCACTGATAATATTCTGGTGGCTTATGAACTTCTTCACACCTTGAGAAGTAATCAGAAGGGGAAACAGGGGTTCTTTGCGCTTAAACTGGATATGAGCAAAGCTTACGACCGTGTGGAATGGGATTTTTTAGAAGCTGTTATGTTGAGATTGGGTTTTGATGGCAGGTGGGTTAACATGATTATGTCTTGCGTTTGTTCTGTCTCTTTTTCTGTAGTTGTGAATGGTGAAGTTACGGATGGTTTTAGTCCTGGTAGGGGGTTGAGACAAGGAGATCCTTTATCTTCGTATTTGTTCCTATTCTGCACCGAGGCTCTCTTTGCAATGCTATCTGATTGTCAGAACGGAGTAGCTGCAAGTCGAAATGGGCCGAGAGTAAATCACTTATTTTTTGCTGATGACAGCCTTTTGTTTGGTAAAGCAAATTTGGCTGAGAGTAAAAAAGTGAAGGATATACTTACGAGGTATGAAGAATGCTCGGGCCAAAAAATTAATTTTGACAAGTCAGCCATAATTTTTGGTAGTAATGTTGATCAAAGTCGGAGGGATGAGTTGTTAAATTTGTTTGGTGTCATAGAACAGGACTGTATTGAGAAGTATTTAGGCTTACCTGCTATGGTGGGGAGGAACCGTCGGCAAGCTTTTGGGGCTTTAAAAGATCGAATCTCTAAGAAGCTTCAGAGTTGGAATATTCGGATGTTCTCTCAGGGTGGTAGAGAAATCATGATCAAAGCAGTTCTTCAAGCTATTCCTACTTACACGATGAATGTCTTTTCACTTCCCAAATCTTTATGTACTGAGATAAACAACATGCTTTCACGATTTTGGTGGAAGCAAAATGGAGATAAGAGGCCATTGTACTGGGTTAGCTGGAGGAATTTATGTAGAGAGAAGAGTTTTGGAGGGTTTCAGAGACATGGAAAAGTTTAATATGGCTTTGCTGGCAAAACAAGGATGGAGGTTACTCACTTATCATCATAGTCTAGCTTACAGAGCTTTGAAAGCTTGATATTTTCCGAGAACAAATTTCTTGGAAGCAAAGCTTGGTTGGAATCGCTCATACACTTGGCGCAGTATTTTGAGTGCACAACCCCTGCTAAAATATGGAGTTCGGTGGAGAGTGGGTAACGGTGCAAACATCAGAATTCTAAAAGATAGATGGGTTCCAAAAGTGGATGGTTTCACTCCTCTTTCAGCTCAGGGTAAGATAGACGAGGATGCTGTGGTGGCTGATCTCATTAATCCGATTAATGGTGGCTGGGATTTAGACTTCATTGAGCACATTTTCTCGGAGGAGGAGGCTCTGGCTATTTGACATATAGCTCTAAGCAGACTTCAAATTGCTGATAGGATGGTGTGGCATTATGATAATAAAGGTTTTTATTCGGTTCGAAGTGGGTACAGAGTACTATGTAATCTACAAGGGGTCTATGATGATCTGGATCCGTTAGCTATTGCACATGACAAGGAGGTTTACCAAACGGTTTGGAAAGCAAATGTTCCCCCGAAAGTAAAAATTTTTGGCTGGCGTATGACCCAAGATATTCTTCCGGTTGCTGATAATCTCTATTATCGAGGGATGGATGTGGATCGAACTTGCTTTCGGTGTAAACTTGATAATGAATCGGGACCTCATGCCATCCTGGAATGTGAATATGCGGATGCGGTTTGGAGGATAGTTCGAGAGAAATATATGAACCATGATGCAGGAGATGATCTTCGATCGGCTGGAAGCTTCTTTGGTGAGACTAAATGGCGTGACATAGCACTGCTCACTTCTTGGGCTGTTTGGAATGATGAAAATGCTAATTTTCATGATGGACTTAGAAGGGATCCACAACACACAGTTGAATTTATCGGATCATATATCATTGAGTTCCAACGATGCCAGGAGGCTGTAACTTCACTGCCAAAACATATAGTCCCGGTAAGATGGAAAGCACCACCGATAGGAGTAGTTAAAGTAAATTTTGATGCTTCCTTTCAGGCTGCTACATCACTTGGTGGTTTCGGTGCTGTGGGGCGGGATGGTTCTGGTGAAGTGCTTGGTTCTATAGCCGGAAGATTGGAGCAAGTTGCAGATGCGTTTGCTGCAGAAGCAAAAGCTGCTGTCAAAGCTATTATTTGGGCCCGAGAGATGGGGTTCACAGACATCATTGTGGAGGGTGATGCTTTGATAATTATAAAGAAAGTGAATTCAACTTTGGAGGATCTCTCACCGATTGGGATATATACTGAAGAGCTCAAGTTCTATCGTTCCATGTTTAATTCTTGTTCTTTTCACCATGTTGGTCGAGATGGTAACGGAGTTGCCCATGCATTGGCTACTTATGGGATATCTTTGACAGAAGATTTAGTTTGGATGGAAGAAGTCCCTGAATTAATCTTGGATGTACTCAAAAACGATTGTAATGCTTTTCCAAGTTAAATGAAAGATTTTCATTTTCCTCAAAAAAAAAAAATTAATACCAGATTAATAGACACGTTTTTGGTTTTTTTTTTTTTTTAAAGACACGTTTTTCGTTTTTTCTTTTTAATTGAAGTTCCAGTCAAACCTTCCTTATCAATCTTATCTACTCTAATAAATTTTTTTTTTGTTAATTCTTTTACCCCGTTACTCTAATGATGATCTGAAAAGTAGTTTCACATTTAACCGATCTTTCGCCAAAAGCCGATATTTCTTCAATACAATAATAAACAATTATGATGTAGCAAAAAATAATAAACAATTAACAACTAATAGCCAAGGTATTGAAAGTTTACCTGGAGCTGGGCTTTAAATCTTTATCCTTCTTTCTTCCTTCGGCTGTTCCTCTTTAATTGTAATGTTCCAATGTTATAAAAAATAATAAACAATTTGGGTTTTAAATCTTTATCCTTCTTTCTTCCTTCGACTATTCCTCTTTAATTGTAATGTTCCAATGTTATAAAAAATAATAAACAATTAATATATTTATATACTCCCTCCATTTCATATTATCTGTCCATTTTTTCCTAAAATTTTGTCCCAAATTATCTGTCTCTTAACCACTTTTAAGATAAAATTTCCTCATTAACCTCTATTTAATTTTTCTCGTTAATATAATACTGTGATAATGGGAAAGAGTTCACCATAAAAATAATGAGAGAGAGAAAGGGGTAATATGGGTAGAATGGGTAAAAAGTGTATAAAATTTAACAAATTGATTGATTTTCTTAATATGTGTGAAAAAAGGAAATGAGACAGATAATATGGGACGGAGGGAGTATATTGTCAACGAAAAAAGGAAGAGAATTACACAAGGATGATATATGAAGGATGGAATGATGTCTATGCATAAAAATATTATACTTCTCATTAATATTTAAATATTATTTTATTCAACCTAACCATTTAGATTTCTGGAAGAACTATGTTAAGGAGGTTTTTGCAGAAATGGAAAAAATAAAATAAACGAGGAGCAAACGGTGTGAAATTGTGAAAATGAGGTGAATTGGTGAGTTTTGGTTGGTGAAGTAGGGCAGATTTTGTGGACTCATGCATGAGAGCCATTGGATGAGTGGACCTCTCCACTATTTTTTCAAGCAGTAGAGAGGATCCTCTCTCATTATATATGGCTTCAAAGGGTAAAAATTCTGAAAATGGCTACCGCACCAAGATTTTTTTTCTCTCTACTTGTCAGTAGCTTTTTCTTGAATGTTATTTCAAGCAATTATGGGCAAAATTTTCTTACTTCTTGCAAGTTTGATGCCATATATCAGCTTGGGGATTCGATTGCAGATACCGGTAATGATCTTGTACTGAATCCTTCAACTCCATGTGCTAGGCTACCCTATGGTGAAACCTTCTTCAACAGGCCAACTGGTAGATGCTCCAATGGCTTGTTAATGATTGATTTTCTTGGTAATTATTAAATTACTGGTGACTTTAATTTCTGTTGTTGCATCTTAATTACCGCAATGAAATGATTAATGGGTCATTTTACTTTTTATGAATTTGGTTAATTTGTTAACTATATAGTTGTGTAAGCAAGTAAAATATAAGCTGAATTATGTTTTATGCTTTGGAACAGCAATGTCTGCTAAATTCCCATTACTTGAAGCCTACCTAAACAAAGATGGATCATTTGATCGTGGAGTTAACTTCGCGGTCACCGGAGCTACTGCCTTGCCTATGGGAGATCCGGGAATCAACTCTCTAAGTGAACAACTTGAATGGATGTTTAGCTATTTTAATAGAACTTGTGGCTTGGACAAAGGTTAGCATGCAGCCATGCACCTCCAACTCCCCTAATATAATTAACAATCATTAACAATATATTCTAACAGTGATTTATATTAAAGCTCAATGGAATAATGATTTATATGCTAAAAAGGGTTTTATTTGATTTATTTATTTATTTTTTGATTTATAGATTGTTTGGAGAGAAATGGAAGAGCTCTTTTCTTGGTTGGGGAGATAGGAGGAAATGACTATAACTATGCCTTCTGGGACGACCGAAAAACCGTAGAGGAGGTTAAAGCCATGGTGCCCAATGTAGTCCAAGCTATAAGAGATGCTGTCAAAGTAAGTTAATTTCCTTTCTAGAAACATTGATTTGATTCTATTTAATTATTTCTAATACTTTTAAATTCGCCTTGTATATGTAGAGAGTTATCGGATTTGGTGCTACTCGGATAATTGTTCCTGGGAACTTCCCCATAGGCTGCTTTCCTTTATATCTGGGTCAATTTCGAACTAATGATACCGGTGCTTATGATGAACATCATTGTCTCAAGTATTTGAATGACTTTTCGATCTATCATAACGATTATCTCCAACAAGCGATCGAGGAGCTAAAACAAGAACATCCCAATGTGATCATTGTCTATGGGAATTACTACGATTCATTCCTCTGGCTTTTCAGCAAGGCTAATATGCTTGGTACGTAAGTGCAACCCTAGTTTTTTTGCAATAAATTGTAACATGCAATTTGCATTTTGCAGTCATGTATTGACAGATTGTACGTACAAAATATTTACAGGTTTTGATCCGAAATCATTACAAGAAGGTTGTTGCGGAATTGGAGGTGCAACAGCATGTTCAATTGGAGGTGCAACAGTATGTTCAAACCCTGATGAACGAGTGAGTTGGGATGGAGTTCATTTGACACAAAGGGCTTATGAATTAATGGCATCATGGCTTATCCGGGACATTTATCCGAAACTGCAATGCAAGCAATTTGATTCATATAGTTCTTCTATCTAGTTTGAGATTTTGAGACATTCTTCTTTTGGTTGGTCAAGATTTTTTATTTCTTCTGTTTGTTTAATTTTTATTTGCTCTTTCGGTGTAAAAGCGTTACTCCAAGTCCACAGCCACAATATATTGGATTCTGATACTATGAGTCGTGGGGCGTAAAAGGAAAATGTAAGAAATAAGAGAGTAGCCACAAGAGAGAAGTAATGAAATTAGTCTAGACTAATGTTTTGTTTCATTAGTAAAAGAGGAGAAGGGTGTTTGGATGAGTTCATTAAAATTTGTGTTAAATTTCTCTTTGCAGTGAAAACCGGTATTTCCTTGTTACAGCAGGTAAATTCTCGTCTTTTTTCAACTCTTCCAACGGCTTATATCTTCTACCTAACTTCCCCGTCCACGTGTCCCCAACCTTACATTAACCTCCAAAATTTCAATCTTTTTAAAGAGTCCACTATATTTAGACCAAAGGATATGTATGGATTAAATCAAGTTTCCGATAGAGATTTTTTTTTTTTTTTGGATACATTGACAATGATTAACAACATAAAACAGAAGTTATAAGCATAGTACAAAACCAAAAAACCTAACGCCAAGAGAAGGATATAGTAGTCGTTGCTAGGGGTGAGAATTAGTCGGTTCAAATTGTCCGAATCGACCGAACCATCAAAAACCGACCGAGGTTAGACGGTTTGGCGGTTATTCGGTTTAGGCGGTTTGAAATCGACACCGATTATATATCATTGGTCGGTAGTCGGTATAAGTTTTGTAAACCAAAACCGAACCGAAACCGACCGATTATATTATTATATATAAAATATATTTATGATATATATAAAATATATATAATATATTTAATTATTTATGATATATATATAAAATATATGTAAAATATATAAATTATATTTATTATATATATAAAATATATATAATAAATTATTTTTATTAGTTTTATAACTAATATCATTAAAACCGCCTAAAACCGACCATTTCGGTTTCTTATATAATCGGTCGGTTTTCGGTATTCAATTTTTCAATTTCAAAACTGACTAAAACCGATTAAATTAAACCGAAACCAACCGAACCGACCGATTATCACCCCTAGTCGTTGCTGCTTGCTCAGCCATCTTCTTGGTCTCTTTCAGCAGGGGCTGATTTGCTCTGAAGAACTCCAGTTATCTTAAAACTCAATCAGATGTGTGCAAGCTACTTATGGAAGGGTCAGAACAGTAACAGTCGAGGAGCTAAAGTTAGTTGGGAACAACTTTGTCACCCGAAATCTGAAGGAGAGCATGGTTTTAAAGATCTTTTATTCTGGAATAAAGCCTGTATAATTAGAAATCTATGATTATTCTATGCTCAAACAGGTTCAATTTGGGTGTCATGGATCTCAGCATGCATACTAAAAGGTAAGAGCATTATGGATATCCTTATTCTTCAAAGGTACAGTTGGAGCCTAAAAAAATTACTGAAACTGAGAATTCTAGTTGAACAATACATCATGCAAGGTAGCAATTCTTGGAGTTTTCCATGTAATTGATATAAATGTTGACTCCATGTGTTTTTGATGATAACAAAACATTCTATTTAGTGTGACTAATCAAGCTATCTAGTGTGCAGTGTTTAATTGAGCAGTATACTTAATGTACGGTTATGGCCAAACCAATTCACATGAAGCTCATTAGCACAGAGGAAGCATACTATGATTTAAGCCCTTATGGAAAGATCAAGTCAAGAAGGATTGATGAAGACTTAGCTCAGCACATCAAGGCAGAAGCAGAAGCTACAAGTTACTGTAGATAAGGTATTCAGCAGAAGGATGTATTAGTGCCAACAATGTGGAAGGTGAATTTAGTGGGACTAATACCATAAGCAAAAGTCAATACCAGAAGCAAGAATTAGTGCCAATAATAAGAAGCATCACTTTAGTGGGACTACCAGACATCAACAGCAAGTCAGATCTTACCAAACGATAGATAAAGTCAACTACAACGTCTATAATTCAAATGGATCTTTCAACGCCATAATTTGACAGATTTGAAAGATTTGGAATTGATGAAGAATATGATCGTTGGAGGCAAATCTAAATATTTAAGGAAACAAATTGACAGATTTGAGGGATTTGCATTTAATAAGGAGAAGACCGTTGGAGGCAGATCTGAGTATATAAAGACTCAAGAAAAAGAACAGAAACAAAAAAAATTATCAGCCAAGACGCACTACACTCTATTCTTTCAAGATAACTTGGTTTTGCAAGATCACTCTAAACTCTATTCATTGTAAATCTTGCCTGAACTTAACCTTGAACCTACTCAGTGTATCTAGATCATATAGGATCACTCTACACACTCTTCAAACTATATCCTTGATTGTAAACAGTGCGGGGAGCACTTGTTCTAAGCTTGGGGAAAGCTTAGGTTTTTGATCAGTGCGGGGAGCACTTGTTTGAGCTTGGGGAAAACTCTATGTTGTCAAGCTTGGGGAAAGCTTGGTTGCTGTAACGGCTTGGTGTAAGCCCGTAACTACATCGGATTAGTGGATTGGTTGAAATCCTTGGTGGGGAACCAAGGTAGAGGACGTAGGTCAGGAGGACCGAACCTCTATAAATTACAGTGCACTGATAAGATATCTCTAATCCCTTTGAGTTACTCTGCATTAAAGCTTTCATTGCATGTCATCGTCTATCCCTTAATCTCTCTGCTATTTATCTGTTTCTATATTGCACTTGTTCCTTTATCTGTTCTGCATATCTGAATTAGTCACAATATTGTTCTGTTTTCTTTTGTTCCTACTAATTTTGTCATACATATTGGTTGCACTAACTTTCTGTTTTATAGAAGAGTTAGTAAGTTCTTCAAAGTTTTAAAAGTCTGCTATTCACCCCCCCTCTAGCAACTCATACGGGACCAACAATAAAGTTGCCATTGTGTATGATTTGTTTAGACATAACCAGGATAAAACCTCATGGCAAAAGCTTGTTTGGTTCCCTCTTCACATCCCAAAATGTTCTTTCATCTCTTTGCTAGTTATTTTTAATAGATTACCTATCAGAGATAGACTGACACAATAGGGTGTTGAATTGAGTTTTGAAAAATGCATGTTGTGTGGAATCCAAAATGAAAGCAGGAATCACAATTTTTTTTTCTTTCACTTGTGACTACTCAAGGAAAGCCTAGCAAAGAGTTCTAGTAACTTGTGGGTAATGTAGATCTGCTATGGACTGTGATTATGAGGTGAACTAGACTGTTAAAGGTCTCAAGGGAAAGTCATTGTTAACTTTAATACTGAAGCTAGACTGGACAGTCTATTGTTATCAAATATGGTTGGAGAGAAATGTCAGATTCTTTGGAAGTCAACAACAATCTAATGAGAATGTTTTTGAGAAGATTGCAGAGATGATTAGATTCAAGCTCCATAGCAAACAAAAAGTGTCTTTAGAATTCAGGAATAGAAGACTTTGTTCTCATTGGGACTTAACAATTATAGGGATTAGTTATTAAGCCTTAAAATTCTTTTCTTTACTCTTTGTCCAGTTTTAATCATGAAACTATAATCGTAATCACTGTAAGCAATTTCTGCTTTTCTTGGGTAATAAAATGAATTAATTATCCAAAAAAAATGTTGCAAATAAGGGTATTTTTGACATTAACTCAAAAGCACTCAATACTCTTAAAAGTGATAAGTATTACCATTACACCAAATTATGACAAGTTTTTCACTATACCACCATCCATTGATTATTTTGAACTTCAATACACCTAACTGGAATTTCCCTTTTTTATATCGGACTTCTGCAATAATAATAGAAGTTATCAAATTTACAGTAATTTGTTATTGAAAAGTTATATATATATATATATATATATATATATATTATAAAAACTATACGTGAAACAATAAATCTAGTAAATTTTCATTAGTTAACAATTTCATCAACAATGGATGCTATCAAATTTATAAAACACAGTTACCAAAAATGCTATATAGTTATGAAAAATGCTTTACACCAGCAAATCCAATAACATCTAATGATAAGTAATTTTGGTAACAAGTTAATCAATAAATAAATGAGGTTATCAAATTTACAATATTTTAGTTAACGAAAAATCTATAACAGTTATTAAAATAGTTATATATGTACCAACAAATTTAAAAGCATTCATTATATCATTTGTCGAGTTATTCCGAAAAACGACATTAATTTGAGAGTTGGTTTCACAAGAAAAAAAAAAGATATTCGGTCATCCCTTTGTGGGGTGAGCCATGAATCCCACATCGACTGTGTACATGTTTGCTAAGAAACTTTTAAAATTAAACTATTATTTTTAAATTTAAATTATTTAAAAAATATATATTTTATTTCACCAAAAAATATATATTTTATTTCACCAAAAAATATATATTTTATATTAAAATATTGTGCAAATCCGGTTTTTCCGACTCAACCCAGTCCGATTTAGGCGGTTATTGACCGATCCGCTCACCGGCGATTTTATATATATGACGGAACCAGATTTATGGCCGGTTCTCGGTTCAACCGCCGGTTCGATCTGGTTCCATCAACACTGTTTTAATGTAAAATCATTATATAATATATATTATATATATTTATTAAATTTTAATTTAATTTTCAAAAAATTATTGTATTACTAATTTAAGTATAAAAAACAAATAAAACGATATAACATCAATAAATTTCCGTGTTACTAATATAATTATTTATATATAGTGAATACTCTCTTCACTATGGATGTAAGCATTTTAAGTCGAATCACGTAAATATTTGTGTTAAGATTTTTTTTTCTAATAGATATTAACATATTAACTATATAAAATAAAGTAAAAATTAAAAATTAAAAATTAAAAAAGAGAAAAAATCATTATGGGCTCGTGCGCCGATTCATGTGCCGGCACGACACGACCCATCATAGATAACATGTTGTGTTGGACTTCACTTTCAAATAATATAGGTTGGCACGACACAACCAATATCATAAATGGACTAGCACGGT